TTGAAATCGCTGCTTGAGGCCCTGCTGTGGGTCTGACTTGGCTCTGGTTGGAGATGCTGGCTCCATGTGAAGTTGCTGGAGTTGTGTGAACTACAGCATTTCCACAGCTTGGTCCCTTGGAAGGGCGGACTTCAGAGAGTTGTGCTGGAAACCTGGAGTGTTGTGAGGGGGCTGGGTCTGACTTGCTTGTAAACTTCTGTACCTTTTAAATGATTATAAATAAACAATTTAAAAACCTGCAAATGCATATGCTTATATTTCTGGGTTTTAGCTACCTGACAGCAGTCTCTCCTGTGAACAACTTGCAACCTGACTTGGCACCTTTTTTCAAAGCCGGGGATGATTTCTGGCTTGTTGCTCTTGCCCAGCTGTGGTGGGTTATCCTTCTCGCTCTCCCTGGCAGCATCCTGCCTTGCCCCACTTTGTAGCCTGACAGCTTCCCCTTTGGGGACCAGCAGGGACTTTCTGAGCACACAGGAGAAAAAGGGGACCCGCTCTGTCCCCCTGTAGACTTCCCCTGACGTGCCACATGAGAGAAAGACCTTCTAATGCGGGAGGGAACCGGGTGCTCCCCATCTGCATAGCAAAGGGGAGAGCTCTGAATTGCTGTAAAGTCAAGGCAAGTGGCTTTTTAAAAAAAATTAATACAACAATTTTTGTTTGTTTAAGCAATTGCCAGACTGTCTCGGAGACTATCTGGATTTCCCCTTCCCTAAGCAGCTTCTTGGAAATGGGTTAACTCTGCCAGATAAACCTGCAAGAGGGCTGAACCAGAAAAACTGCTGCAGAAACCTCAGACCAGGCTGATGCTCCTTGGCCATGTTGCAAGCGGGGGCTGTGGGGCTTACTGAATGTGCCAGAAAAGGCTTCCACTGGTGGCCCTTGCTTATTCAGTATAGGAAAAATGTGGCAATTTCTGTGTGGGGGTTTTGTTTTTGTCTTGGGGTTGGGTTTTTTTTCCCCATCTTTGGCTAAGCAGGGCCTCCTGCACAGGTAGAGATGTGCTGTTGGATGTTTGATCCTGGAGCAGGCACAACCCAGCTCTTTTAGGCAAGGTGAGGGGGAGCATGGGGTTTGCCCTGTGGTGGTGATCACATGCTACATAAATTACCAGGCCTCACATAGTTTATCCTAAATGTGCCTCTTCCAGCCCCCGTGACAGCTTTGTACCATGTTTTAATGGAAAAGGTCCTCAAGGTGGGCAGCCTGGCTCTCCCCAAGTTATGGGGTGGATGGGTAGAAAAGAGCCCATTGCCTCTGCAGAAGCTTTCTCCAAATACCTGTCTGGGGGCAGCTCCAGGGCTGGCAAGGAGGGAGGGGGCAGAACCCTCACCTGGCCTGTCCAAAGTTTTGTTTGGTTTTGCTGCCCGGACTCTGAACAGGAGATTGCTGGGCACACCCAGCCTGTTGTTCTGACAACGTGTATTTTTAGCAGACGTTTACAATCATGTGCAGTATGTCAGGAGGCAGCAATGTATTTATTTTCTCAAGCGCCATTTCATTTCCAGAAGGAAGAAAACATTTTGTAGTTGGGCTTTTTTTTCCCCTTGAGGAAAAGCCTGCCATAAACTGCCACTGCCTCGAGCGGCTCTCTGAACACAGGGCTTCCCGTGGTGGCCGTAACTCACCTCCATCCTTGCTCCCATCTCTGTGTGGGAGCAAAGATTTGCACATTCCTTGCAGGAACAGCTCACAGCCATGCTCTTCCTGAGGGTTTGAGGCTTATTTGCTGCCCAGCTGCAGAACTGAATCCATAGGGCATTTCTGGAGACTTTAACGCCTATGGAATTCAGTTCTCAGAGCCAAGCAGCCAGTGTGAGTCGGCTTCCCCTGGCCCCAGCCAGCCACGTCTCCATCTGCGAGAGGAGAAAAATAGCAAAGAGCTCACGATGTCGCTGACACAGTGCAGGCACTGAACTGACACAGATTTTTGCAACGGGGAGCTGCTGCAAGGAGAGGGCTCTGGCACCTCTCGCTCTCGCCCCAGAAGCAGCACACGTGGCCACAGCTTGCTTTGGAAACTTTGCTCAAGTTGGCTGCTTTTTGGTTTTTTTTCAGCTGCTTCCATGTGTCATCCTGTCGTTTGGAGCTGCTGCAAAGCTTCAGGTCAGCCCTGGGCTCTGTAAACCTGCTGGAGCTGTAAGAGAAATACTGTTTCTTCCAGATGGGGCTGGTATTTGCAGGTGCATTGGGAATCCCGCCTACGTGTTTGCCCTGTGCGTGGGTGGTAGCACATCCCTCAGTCTAAACTGTTCCTCTGCGTCTGCATCTGAAGGTGGGGCGCAGTGGGGGAATGCTCAGCACTGCAGGAGCAGCCCCGCGCTCCCGGGCACCAGCCCTCTGCTCTGCTTGTACCGAAACCAGCGCTCGTGGGACCCCCTGGAACTGGGACATGCCAGCTGATGGATGAAAATGGTTTGTGTAGCAGGGGGACCACGAGCAGAGCCTGCCTGCTTGGGACTGGGGAGGGAGGGACGGTAATTCTGCAGCTTAAAATGAAGCAGTGAAAGGCCTTTTCCAGGCAGCTCAGGGAGTGGATCCAGGGAGGGATTGGTCTCAGTCTGGACCAAGCTGGGACCTGCTGGTGCATCCCACAACTACGCACGTGCCCTTTGCTGCCTGCTACCCTCGCCCTCCAGTTTGGGCTGCAAAGCTTGTGTGCATGGAGGGGCAGACTCGGGGGACACATGGGGACCCTGTGAGCTGCGTGGAGGTGCTGGTGCTGCTGGCAGATTTGGGCAGTCTCGGTCTTCAGCAGAAGCTGTTTGTTTTCAAACCCAGGGACTCAGCTGATAGCTGAAAGGCAGGGAGAGGCTCCTTTTTGGCTCAGCAATAGTCGGACAGAGTTGCGATGACAGCGGCTCTGGGTGGCTCGGGCAGCAGGAGCCGCTGGGAGAGGGTTACAGCCCTTTGCCTGCTCGCTGGCCGCACAGGGAGGGAGCCCTCGGGTCTGATGGATCAGCAGATGAGACGGGAAATGACACAGCCCGCTTTGGAGCACAGGCAAAGATTTCAATGGGGGAAGCACCAAACAACTGTCGGCACTCAGCACGAGGAGCTAACTCCACGATTGCTCAACAGCCGGCCCAGGGCTCTATTTTAATCCACCCAGGGGGAATCCGAGTTCAGCCAGGGCAGCACGAACTCACCATCCCAACGAGCGTCCCAAAGGAGCCAAGCCCAGTTGCAAAAGCAACGTGGGGTCCCCGCTGTGGGTCCCAGCCCTGGCACGTGCCAGGGACCACATGCAGCTGTACTGCAGGGGCAGCAGCTGAGGTAAAGCAGAGCCTTACACCAGGGTCCCCCCACCCTGCAGCGGGTGGTCGGGGTCAAAGAAGTGGCTCAGGGACCCAGCTGTGCACTGTGCTGTTTCTCAGACCACCGTGGTGTGGCAGAGAGGTTTCAATAGCTCTGAGCCCCCCAAGCTCAGAAAAGTGGGGTGATGTCCCCTCTCCTCCTCCTCCCCTCCTTGCTGTGGATGCTGCAGCTGGGTGGGCAGCCTGGGATGACTGGTAGGGATGGGATGCTCTGGGGCTGCTCCTTGGCAACCTCATGCCATAGGGTGGTTGCCCTGCAGTCCTTGGGCTATTTAAAGACGTGGAAAGGCTTTGTGCTTCATTTTTTAAGCTGTACAACTCTGCATTTTACCCCAAAGGGGTTGGGGGATCGCTGCTGTTCAAAGTGCCAGCCACCCGCCTTCAGCACTCGGCCGTGCTGAGCAACCACTGCTTTCAGCAACTGAAAGGTGGAGGCAAGGGAAAAGCCTTCCTCCCTATCTTCCTCCATGGAATGGTTTGCAGAGAAAGGGGAAGGGTTTCAAGGGCTGCAGGGAGGTGATGTGGGCACTGGGGCTGCGTGGGACAGCTCAGCAGCTGCCTGGCATGTGTCCCGCCGTGCCCTGTACCCCTGTCCTCCCCGGGATGGGGCAGGAACAGCTCCAGCAAGCCACTTTTGGCATCCTGCCTGCGGGTGCTGGGGCTGGGGCACCCCCTTGCCAAAAGGCACCAGGGGCAGTTTGCCCTGGGCGTAATGGGAAGCCCATGGGGGCCAAGCTGGGAAAGGAGGACTCAAAATCCAAGCGCAGACAAGCTCCAACTCTTTTCTTTCACTCCTGGCTGTTCCTGCTAGCAGTGTCCCCACAACATGGCATCCACAGCACCCCCGGGACCACGGGGCCCTGGGAGCAGGGAGTGATGTGAGCTCTCCCTGGGGCATGGCACCACATGCAGCCACAGGGTGTAGGAGCCTGCGACCCCCCCCCAGCGGTGCTGGGCTCCCGTACTGTGGGCAAAGGGAGGGCACTACCCAACCTCCTGCTTCCAGACCCATCCCTTCTCGTGAGAGCGCGTGCTTCTGTGGTATTTTCAGGATGCTTGTACCGGTTCCTATGCACTGTGTGTGCCGGGCACA